CACCATCCATTTAATTAGCCTTCTTAACATTTCAAGCTTCTACAAGACCTATTTCAGTGGTTGGTCAATTAATACGTGGATTATATAGGTTTAAAAATATGGCCTAAGTTTTTTGACCGAGGTGATAACGGCATAAGCTAGTTTGTCTATGCCACAATAGTTAGCCTCTAGCCTTATTAGTACCCTACTTACAAAATAGACCAATCTTTGTTTCCCTTCTTTATCTCAGATAAAGACCAAACTAACAGCCTAAGCTGTGCTAGTTATATATAGGTATAAGATCTCATCAAATTTTAGTTTAGACAAAATAAGTGGAAATGATAAGAACTCTTTTTGAGTTCTTTGAAAGTTTTTTGGCACTGAGGAGTTCACATGAAATTAAATACGTTCTTGAAGATTTGAAAGAATGACAGACATCGTTCTATCGATCTAGACATGAATAGGCTTAATGCAACTATTCTACTAGTTAACTTATGTATTTCTTTTATCGAAGTTGGTGCTTTCACGTTTAGGATCGCTTGAATCTTTTTTGGGTTTGCCTTTATCCCCTTTTTGTTGATCATGTAATCGAAAAACTTACCCGACGTGACTCTAAAAATACATTTGTTCGAGTTAAGCCTTATATTATACTTCTTCAAGGTGCTAAAAGTCTCTCTAAAGTCTATCAAGTGCTTAGTTGAGCTCTTACTCTTAATGATTATGTCATCCATATATACATACATGTTGCAATCGATCTGATCTTTGAATATCTTTTTTATCAGCCTTCGGTAGATTACCTCTATATTTTAATCCGAAAGACATTATTTTATATCAATAAAGGCTTTTTTCAGTAACAAAGGCTATTTTTTTCTCATCATCTTCCAGCATTTTGATTTGAATGTAACAAGAATATGTATCCATAAAATTGGAAAGGCTATGCTTGGCACTATTATCTACTAATTGATCTATACTAGGAAAAAAAAGCTATCTTTCGGGCAGACTTTATTTAGGTCGATAAAGTCAACACAAATCTTTTAGTTTTTGTTGTGCTTGTTGACTATGACCACATTGGCTATCCATTCAGGGTAGTAAACCTCCATAATGAAACCTACTCGTAATAATTTATCAATCTCATCCTCAATAGCCTATTGTCTTTATGAGGTAAAGATTCATTTTTTTATCGAACTAATTTTACCTTAGAATTAGTGTGCAGCCTATGAATGATCACTTCAGTATTAATCCCAAGCATATCAGATGGTGTCCAAACAAATAGGTTGGTATTATCTTTCAAAAGTTGTATTAAGTGATCTTTATATTGGAGTTTAGCTCTGATCTGTATGTGTTTTCCAAGGATGCTATCCCAAAATGGAACTATTATAAGGTCCTCTACCAACTCAGATTGATTTTCATCTGAGTTTGGCTTTTAACCAATTATCTTTTTTTGTTTAATTAGGTCATGACCATTTCTTGTTAAAATAGATCCCGACGTGATGATAAGTATATTATGGATAACTTGTTGAATATGTATGTAGTTAAATTGGTATGTATTTTTCATTTCATACTATATTTTCGCTAGCATATTAGCTTGGCCTAAATGACATATGATTGTTCACACCGGTTTAAAAGCTCGATTGTATTTGGAGTTATCTCAAAAAATTCAAAAAGTAGAACAAAAGTTTTTTTTTTTTTTGTAAAGCTTGAGAGCTCGAAATAGTTTAAAAGCATGCTTCTATCAAGTTAGCCTTATGTTTCATGCTCTCGCTAATGACTTCCTACTTCTTGTTGGTTTCTGGTGGTTGTCATTCTTTACTTTTGACCTCAATTTCTATCAAATTGCCCATCTGCTTTTCAGTCATGCCCTTCATTATTGTGACATAACACTATCGCGCCATAGACTGATTTTTCTAGACTTCTCCAACCCTTTAGGTGTTGAGAATTTTACTTTTAAATGAGAAACTGAGCATATAAGTCACATAACAGACTAACTAGGTTAGCCTAATATCATGTTATAAGCTAATGAAACATCTGCAATCATGAATTCTATAACCAAGGTGATAGTTTTCGGTTCAATCCCAAAGGAGATTAGAAGCTTGTTGGTTCCTTTTACTATACCTACTCATTCCAAACCCCACAAGTGTCATGGTGATTGACTTTAATTGATCTTCACTAATTCTTATTTTTTTATATAGCTGTAGTACATGACGTTGATTGAACTCTCATTATCAAATATGATATTTTTTACTAAATAGTTATAAACTAAGGCTGTGATTACTATAACATCATGTGAGTGTTGGATTTCTGCAAGATCTTTCAAGCTAAGATCAGCTCATCTTTCCAGTCTTTTTCTCTTTTTTGTCGAAATGCCTATTATCATAACTATGCCCGGGTTAAATTTTCTTTTAGCAGAGGTGGAGCTACCCCAGTGATCATATTAATTACCCTACCAATTGGTCTATTTTATCAGTTTGGACCTCTTCTTGAATCGGTTCATCTCTTCAGGTTTTTTTTCTTTTATGTTTTGCTCTTTTCTTTTTGTCGTAGATAAGCCCTCTTCGATCTTTTTTATAGTTTGCTCTAGATTGGTCTTGTCTTCTCTATCCCACAAATTTCTTCAGCTAACTTATTCTTATTAGAGCTTCAATCTCATTTTTTAGGTTGATGCAATCTTTAGTATTATGACCTATATCTTTATGAAAGGTACATCTTTTAGTTAGATCCTTCTTCGTATTCTGTCTCAGTAGCTTCAGTCATCTGAGGTTAGAGTTTTTTTCAATTTGCATCAAAATCCTCTTTCGAAAGGTATTCAGTGCAGTGTAACTACTTTATCCATTAAGGCTTCTAGCTCTGTGTCATCCTCCTTTTGGGGGAAGATCGTAGAAATCTTTACCTTTCTTACTACCGAGAAAGGAGGATGAGCCTCCCACACCTCGACCATCAAAGAGGGGAGATGAGCCTCTCTCGCCTTTGTTAGTTTTCATTGTAACTTTAGTATTTATGTATTTCTCTACTATCAATAAGACGTCGGCCAGAGTTTTAAACGGTTCAAGCAATACAATTAACTTTAAGTGGTACTTTTTATCATGGAGTCCACTTGTCAAAGTGGTTTCGATCACCATTTGTTTCAAGTTTTTAACCTGCAAAGCTTTTGCATTAAAACACGTGACATAGCTTTCCAAAGTTTCATTCCGTCCTTGGTGCATTAACATCAAACTTAAAGTCGTCTTCTTCACTCTTTGACTACTCACAAACCTAGATAGAAAAGAGTGGCTGAGCTTTTTGAACCACGTGAGTGACTTTGGTTTCAAGCTGCTATACCAAGACCAAGTTATACCTTTTAGTGTAGTAGCTACACCTTTGCACATTAGAGCCTTGTCTACCCCTTATATTATCATGTTAGTCTATCAAGTTCCAAATGATCGAAAGGGTCAAAAGTACCATAATAGATTTCAAAGTTGGCATTTTGAACCCTTTATGAGGCATAACTTTGTTGATTTTTTCTCATGAAGGGTAAGGTCTCTAAGAACTCAAGCTCTTTCTTAAAAGCTACTACTTTCGTTTTTAGCTCTTTTTCCATGGCCTATATCCGAGCTTTTAAATCACTGTTCAGTTGGGATTCGAGATTTATTTGTTTGGATTTTTTGGTCGTAGCTTGTGTTAAATTGTGGTTAGGATAATGGTGGGTTAGGCTTACGTGCTTCTCTTCTCTAGAGGCCGAAAAGGCTTCCACCTCTTCATAACTTGATTGTCTGACAAGGGTTCCTCAGCCATTGGTGATTAAGTCAGACACTTTTGAAACTTACGGTGGGATTATGGTTTGTAACATCTGCTTAAAAGCCTATTTCTATTCAGTCATGGCTTGGAATTATTCCTTGGTTGGGTCCACATGTGGTTGGGCCAATCGAATGGAATGCTGGTTATAATAGGTTTCTGTTTCAGCCAGGACCACCCTCTCTCGTTCCTCTAGGGTTCTTTTCCTTAATGGCATTGCTATATGCTTGGCTAATGAAAGAAAGGGTCATCTACCTGGCACACCAAATGTTCGTGCCGAGCTCTAACCTTGAGGGGTCCTTGGAAAGATAGAAAAGAAGAGAAAGACGGTTAGAGGCAAAGGCATGGTGTGTTCTTTACGTTTGCACTCTGACATGCAAGTTAGGAAAAGTGAGGTTGGAAAGGAAAGGAATTAGAAAAGAGAGAAAAAGAGTTGAATGAACCTAACTTAATGGTGCCTGAAACTTCATATTTATAAGTAAGCTCTATGAGACCATCAGAGGACAATAAAAATAGTGATGAATTGATATGATATTGAGTATGTCTGACCGACTTGACATATCAAATTAACACAAATGATGAAAATACTCTTGATTCTCAATTGAAAGCTTCATAAAAGGAAAAAAAAAAACCATTATACTCTTTTGATCATCAAATACCCCTAACACTAACCTATATCCAAATTCATTTCAACCACAATTTAAACAAATTCAATAGAAAACAAGATAAAGATCTTACTTTTAATCACCGGAAAACTCAAAAATATAAGTGATTTAAAGTTAATTTGAAAGATTTAGCATTTTTTGAATTGAAAAGTGAAAAGAGATAAGAGATAGAATGGAAAGGATAAAATGAAAACTAGAAAGTGAAGAATGAGAGTGATTTAGTAGAGATAGAAAATTAAATTTTGAATTTGAAATGTATTTAAAAGTGAACTGTATATAACAATAAATGAAGTGTAAATAAAATTTTTTTTTATTTTAGTCAAATTTTCAACTCTGACTGGTATTATTATAAATATCTTAATTCATTAAATTTAACAATATATATATATATATATATCTAAAAAGTAATTCATTCAGAGTCTTGGACAATATTTTTTAATAATTTTGCTAATTATAGATATAAAATAAAAAAGAAATCAAAATTTAAATTATGTTATTAAAAAATCATCAAGTGACAATTTTATTACGATTGCTACTAAACAAATTAAAGTACAACGACTTTAGTAATTGATGCCTGATTTGAATAGAACTCTCTCACCGCAATGAGATTTATGTGGATCCCTAAACACACAATTTTCATGATTAACACAATTTAAATAAATAAATTATCGATACTTTAATTTATACAAATAGATGAATTATCATATCTACTTTTAACAAATTTTACAAACGAATCTCCCCCCAACACTCGCAACCAATAAATGCTACTCCCTAACCCTTGAGTTAAGAATTTATGATATTAAAAACTATTAACCTAAGAAGTAAAAGCTACTTTTCTATGTTACCTAGAAACAAGCAGAGTCTACTGAATACGTTAGAAGTGTTAGATATTATATTTACAGACAGAATGAAGTTAAACACCTTCGTAATGCTGCAATGATGCTGCCAGTATATTCAAATGCAGGAGCTTATTCAAATGCAATAGACATGAAAGTGTCATCATCCAAAAGAGAGTCAATGTCAATAAGATCTTCATCACGGTCAGCCACTTCTTCTGAGCTGCTCTGAACCATATTGCAAGCCTGTGGAAGAATATCTCAAAACAATTCAGTACCTTAAATAATATTTCGAGGAGTTAAAATAATTGTTGGAAATGAATTTTATTCTTAGGAAATTTGTTGCAATTGACAAAAAAGCACATTCACAATCAAAATTATGGCATATGCAACGATCGTGTTTGTCTTCACAAAACTAAAATGAAGAGAGAGAGAGATACAAAGACAAACAGAGATGTGGGGCATAAAAATTACATAACAATTTTTGGACCTCGTAACTCTTGACACGCAATCTCAAGAATTTATGGTTGGTCTCGTAAGACTTTGGAATAATCGCAATAATCAAAGAAAAAAGAGCTCAAACCAGGTTATTAATAAGCTCTCTGAATGATGAAACAAAAGCTTATACAGAACATAGTTGGCCAGTTAGCATCCAGATGAAGCAACAGTGAATGACAGAAACAAGGCAAGTTCAAGGTGCGAAGACACTATCTGAGACAGATTTGAGTTGTCATGGCTATCTAACATCATTGAATCCTGCTGATGTGAATTTAAATAAAATAGAAATTTATGTCATAAACAGAATTATATATACCTTATTTTCACGAATCCCTTGAACCAAAGTCAGCAGCCTACGATACTGACCTCGTCCTTCAGAATTCTGAGCCATGGACTTGACCCTAGTAAGTGCCTTCTGCAGCCTTTCTTCAGTTTGTTTTCTTCCCTCCTTCAGAAAATCATAATCATCCTCTTTAGAGGGCATGCACTGTGGGTCAGGTTCCTTGGTAATTGCATCCCGTCGAAATCCTCGCAAACCATTCCCTTTACGTCTCCACCGTAAAATAACTTTCTCCAGAATTCCCACTGACCAGATGATTGTTCTATACTGTTTCCTCACCTGGTGTCCTCTAACATGGGCCTTCACACCATAAAATTATAAATCAATATTCAAATTCAAGATTTTATAGTTTGGATGTCAATAATAGATCAATAAAACCTCAAACTAACAGCGTTACACATTATGTTTATCATAAAAAAATCAATTCCTTTTACCCCATTTTTTGATAAGTAAATATTTAATATGGTAACATTGATACCATAAAAGAAAGAATAAAAGTCATGGCACAGGAGCCAACAGAAATCAAATGGTCAAAACCCCTAAATATTAAAGACACAAATCCCATTATGTTCTCTCTAAAAAAGTCATGTGAAAAATTGCCTATGAAAACCATCATTACATCAAAAGGTCATCACTTAAGCTTTCCAGGCACAGGATGACACATTACCATAAAGCAAGCACATTGAAAGAATCAGATTAAGCCAAAACCCATTTCCAAGGAAAAGATTACGAGAAAAAAGAAAATGGAAAACATAACCAAGAAACTAAGACATCAACAAAGACAAAAGTAGCAATAACCTGGATTTTGACAATTCTTTGACGGATCAACAAGAATTCTTTTCTTTTCTTCCAACCACGAAACTTTTTTTGGATTTGTATTGCAGCAGCATGGGCTACCCCATCACTTTGCAATGGCCTGCGTGCCTTAGCAGTTAAAAATGAAATAGCATGTTCATCAGATACACCATCACCAGACTCACTCAACTGTTTACGCTGGAAAGATTGCATCCTGAACATTTGATGTATACGATCAGCAGCTTGTGTGGCATTACAGACAGCAGTAATTGAGTCCTTCAATGACAGTATATCTTGCACATCACAATCATTCACAGGTGTTGCCATTCGCTCCGAAACTATTTGAACAGCTTCCTTTGGATCATTCATTGTGAGAGAAGAAAGGAAACAGGTCAAGGAAGATTCTGCAAGGAAACCAGAGATTCCTTTGTGTCCATTACCAGAAGCTAAGTCTGCAGGAGTTCTACCCAAAAGAAATTCTGGAGATGGGTCCGTCAGTGCTCCAGGAGCTGCTCCCAGAGAAACTAGAATGGCAACTGTTTGCTCTCTGAATTTTGCAAAAAAGATTCAGACACAACAAAAATATTGTAAGTTTTGCTTCTAATACAACATTTACTTTATCATAAGCCAAGAAAATAATACAATTAAACATAAGATTTTCTCAAATAATTTCATAACCAAAGAAGTTCAAATTAATGCAAATTCAGTCAGAAATTCATTAATTTATAAATTGAAGGCTCTAAATCATAAGACTTAATTTGGTGCAACACAAATATAAAGCCTGCATATAACACAAATGAGTAAGAGTAAATTTTGAGGTCCTTGCCTGCCACAGAAAGCCGCCCAGTGAAGTGCAGTCCAGCCATTCACATCACGAAAATTTATACTAACTCCAGCAGTAACAGTAGGTTTTACTGCCCAATCATAACCAAGTGCAGCCGCTAAGTGTAGTACTCCTTGCCCCTTCTCATCTAATATATTCGGCCCTTTACCATCTTCCATGATTTTGTGAAGAAGCCATGAGTACAACTTCTCTTTCATCAATTTCTGAAGGAGGCACTCCTTTTCTTCATGTTGAGACAAATCCCTGTCAGGTGAGCGGTCTACTATCTGGTGACATTCCTCTTCCTCTTTCATTAATATAATTTTAGTAATTAAGTCTCTTTTCTCCCCAACACCTTCAAAATGATGATTAGGAGGACTGAAGGATTTCAGAGAAAGTAACATCTCAAATCGCCTCAGCATTTCTCTTGAAGCAACACCATAGATATCTGAAACGTTTATGTCATTGGCGAATCCTGCTCGGTAGTCAAATTCTCGCACTTCACTACAAGCTAACCTGTTGGAACACGTGACATAAAATGGGACTTGCCCAACACTGAGAGGTGAAGCATGGCAAGAAAGAATGCCATCTGCAATAACCTCAGCCGGAACCTCCACCTCCCCAAACATACATGACCAGTTATATTTTGCTACTTCCTCTTGATTCTTCAAAAATGTTCCAATAATCAAAACCTGTTTTATGATGCAGAAAATGATAAGGAGAAAAAGTCCATTTTACTAACTTGGCAACTACTAAAAAGAATAGACATCATAAGAAATTGAAAACCCAAGCTGAATAGACATTTAAAGGAGGGGAGAGGTGATTGCATGACATTCAACAATATTTAAAGCAGGGAGGATAATTTGCTTGAGTAATTAAAATGCACACATAAAAATGAACAAATTTGAGAGTTGCAAGTAGTTAACATGCACACATCAAAGTACCAGACAAAAGTAAGTTGAATAAGATAAGGTTGAACAATGCACAGCTAAGAAAACATGACAAAATTAACTATTCTTCAGTGAGAAACGTGGTGAGAGAAAAGGTTAACAGAATAAGCAAGTAGTTAATTGATATCTTCATTTTGCTAGTTGCTGCAGGAACTTAACTTCATATGCAAAAAAAAAAAAAAAATTAAATACCTTAGTTTCTGAGTCTATGTAAGCCCACTTAGGTGAAAAATCAGCTATGCTGAAAAGTTGGTCTTGGGAGAGAGAAGGGCTCAAAGAGGCATCATCAGATACATTTCCACACTCAACAGTGCTCCAGGTAATACCAGATGAGGACTGCATCTGCAGATCATCTACTTCTCCAAGTTCTTTAGTAATCCACCGTGAAAAACTGTCAACTTTCTTCAAGCTATCTTCTCCATCAAGTAATGATTTTTTCAGAGAGAAAGCATAGTTGATATTTCCAGCCAAATGCATATCATTCTCAGGATATGTTTTCATAACAGAATTAGAATCTGCATTGATAAGCTGCATTTGAAGGTTTTTATGCACAGGCTGCTCATTTAGAACATCACGACTGATCAATTCTTCAAGAGCATTCAATAAATGAAAATCATGACTCTTTTGCTCAAAGAACCTAGTATCATATGGCAATTCAAAATCTGATGACGGATCCATAGGCCATTTGGGCAACTCTAAGGCATTGTCAGCCAAAGGAATCTGAAAGAAGTACTTGAATTAGAACATTATATATCGGAATGAATTTGAGAAAAGATCCAAATATGTTTAAACACCAAAAGTACAGAAAGGGCAAACAAATCTGTGAAGAAGTTTTTGTGAAAAAACTGGATATTTTGAGACTACATACATTGGTTATTAAGTAAAATCAATCCTTTAGGCATTACATAAGTCACCCGACAGTTTTCCTTAACCATCTAAATTTTTAATCTCTATGACAAGGTTCAATACTGTATGCCTAATACTGGATGGAAAGTGAAGAGAATAACAACTCCTTGCATAAACCAAAATTAAATAAAACATTTTGCATGGCAATGAGATAAACAAACCACATTAAGACATTAAAAATTCAGCATCCTGCCTCACACAATTTCTACATAATATAATAGATTGTTTACAAAAAGTACTATACTATAAGTGTAAATATCACTTTTCAGGTCTCAATCTCAGAATTTTGACCGTTAAGATGCAAACTGAATAATAACTAAGGTACGAACTGCAACTACCATGAATACCTGCCAATTTGATTTTCTTGGCAGAGGATTTCCAAACTCCTCTCCAGCACTCTTGACATCTAATAGTTTGCCTTCAATCATGTTTTCTTGTTGCAGGCTGATGCCAACAGTATCAGGTTGAGCGGAAGTCATTGAAGCATGAGAAGATGCAGCCGGATATACAGGCATATATTGTTCCAAGCCTCGTTCCCTAGATGCCAAATCAAGTGTTCTTTGAGCTTCAGTCATGTGAGAGCCATAATCAATACCCCTAAGTCTATCTCCATGAAGATGTGAAACTTCATTTACTCCAGGAATTGATGACCGACCTTCATGATCATAGTGTAAGAATTTCAAGTTTCCATCTGGCTCAACTGCAAAATCATGCAAAAGCTTGATGCATAAAGCAATTAATAGAAACGAGTTGATGTAAAGCAAGTCACAAAAGACAATGCTTACCTGGAAAGGGATGGGTAGAATAAGGATTTAAGAAGCCAGGATTCATATCGTCCATCACAGAAGCATTTCCTATTTGGGGCGATATATGGAGTCTAGAATTTGCTTGCTGACTATCCTCTGTATGATCTCATATAAGTTGCATTGAAAAGTAGTATGAATAATGAGGGAGGAAAAAAAGGCAACTTAACCACCATCACACTATATTGCCTAAAGGATATAAATATGAACAAAAACACAGAAAAAACATACCAGAATCAGCATCTTCACACAACGATGTTAAAGTCCTGGTTGGGCTTGCTGAATCTGCATTTCCAGAAGGTGCTTTTCCATGACTAACAGAATAGCTAGAAGTTGAAGGACTGCTAGTTCGGGAGTTTGATATAGCACTAGTCTCTCTTATGCCTCCAATAGTCCTACTACCCTGAAGGCAAAGAAACCAATATGGTCTGAAGTAAGGAAAATTTTAACATGGGAAAAGATTGACTATTCGAACAACCAAAATACTTGCCTAGTCAAAATCAAACAGTCAAATAATTAATAACTTCTGCAGAAAACAGAATAGTTTAAAAACTAAAAACAAAAAATCATACACCTGTGAATGTTCAATCAACTAAGATTGATACTTGTAAGTTGTAATAAATAGGCAAACCTCAAAAGGTCAAAATTTTTTTTTTTCGTACAAAGGAGGCCCAAGGCTTAGGGGGAATTGGGGAAGGAAAATTTGCAAATGCTAGGGATTGAACCCCAGCCTTGCGGGAATCCACTTCCTAAGAGAAGTGGGTGAACCATTTGGGCTAAGCCTCAAGTTCTCAAAAGGTCAAATTTTAGAACATTGACTTTTAGGAATTGCAGACAGTTAAAAGTTAAATGCCAAGACGATTTTATGTCATGCAAATTCAGAACCTAGAATCATGTAGTTATGCTCAACTAGATTGGGATTGACTTAGATGAGCCGAATTTCATTAGCTTAAGCTTAGGACTGATGACTGCAACGATTGGCTGTCACAATCAGTATATGTGCAAGTCATTATTTGATCCAAAAACCTAATGCCCATCAAGATGTTTAGCACAAGTTGTGAAAGCCAACTGTTCCGATCCTTACCAAGAAGTCTACAACCAACCAAAAAGTAATATAAAACCCCCAAATCAGGGTACACCTCAAAGCAAATGAAAAGAAAAAGCAAATGTTTATGAAGGCAATAGTAAGTTGGAAATAAATCCTGGAGCACATAAAACAAGAAGCAACACAATAGCTATGGAGGTCAACCACTACCACCCTCCTCTCACAAATACTCCCCTGCCCCCTTTCAACCAGTCCAGCTGTAGTTCTGATTAATGGAGAACCAAACATGGATTCAATGCTCAAAAGAACTATCCCACCAGAGTCCTCACCTGTGCTGATTACACTTCATTTTTATTTTTTAAAGAAATGATGACTACACTTCTTAAACTGATGGACCAAATGATGTTCTTTGTTCATTTCTTCTCTAAAATTGCCGGGTATAAGTATACTGGATATTAGAGATTGTATTTTAAAGTACAAGAAATGTTGTAAACAATCAATCATCAAGCCTTTCTTAAAATCAAAAAGAAAAACTTAGTGATAATTCATCAGAAGAAATAGAAGTGAGCAGTACCTTAACCTCCAAGTAGTGCACAAAAACTATATGCATCAAATCCCTACAACATTAACAAAATCATTCAAACCAAAATTAACAAAGCTTAGAGACAAGATATTAAGTATATAATTCCAAATACTTCACAAAACCAAAAAAAAATTGCTACTATTATTCAAAAAATGGAACTTTAAACCCCCACTGAAGCAATAGACCCAGGAGTTCCAAATATCACAGAACTCAGAGTATTGTTACATTATTTGCATATAAAGTACAGGTTATAAATTTTTCTAGCCCTAAAAGTACTAAGATAAGCAATTCGAGTATTGGCTCTCTCAACTTGCTTTACAAGTCAATGTAAGAGAAGATAATGTATCACTCATTGTAACAGAAACTGTAAAGAAAATCAATCATACCATATCCGTTAGACTTCACAAATTCCCACCCTTAACAACCAGTAGAGGCTCGTTAGTAAGCTAACATGTATTACATGGGCCATGACGCCCAAGTATAAACAAATTTCGAACACTGTTAACTGTGATACTACTTTATGCCCTCCTAGCTGGGAAGCAAAAAAAAAGTACCTTTTCAACCATTCTGGCATTAGCACACAGTTTCCAAGTAAAATATGAACGTAATTAACTGGAATAAAGAAATCAAATAAAATAGAGCAAAATATAATACAACTTTAGAGACATTATAACATGCTAGCATGCCTATAGCTAACCACGAAAACAAATATATATATATATATATACAAATTAATCCATACTGTTCAAGCATCCAATAGCTACGCCTTTGAAAGTTTTCATTCTCTTCTCCATGGGCATAGTAGCAGTGCAACGCATCAATGCTTCCAACCTAAAATTGCTTTAAAGAAGTTACTCTTAAGCAAAGTTTCCAATCCAGGAGTGTGAGTCACTAAATAAAGACTTCCTGAAATGCTAAAACTATATAACAAGAACAAGAAAACTTTATATTCTATTGCTAAATTACTTACTTTCAGCTTCTCATGAGCTTCCTTCACAGTCTTTCCATCTTTTTTCTTCCTCCAATTATGTCCATCCTTCCTAAAGTATCTTAAAACCTTTCGATCAAAAAGAAAAAGTGATCCACCTGGCAAGTTTAAATTCATATCAATCTATTTGGTTGTCTAACCCTAAATCAACCACAACTTTATCAAATAATTTTTCACAATGATAACATTGATGTTGCAGGTTTTGCTTAATGCATTTTCATTCAGCTTTCATGATTGAACAAAACAAGGTTCTTAGGAATGGAAAGTATATGGAAGCAAAAAAATAAAGAAATAAAAAAAGAAGGAAAACCCAAAGCTAACAACAGAACAACATTAATCTACTTTCAAATTAATTATTTTCACATGCTTTAAGCAAGAGGTTAGTGATCATAATATAATTACTTCAATTCACAATAAAAAAAATACTGTCATGATTTTTATCCAGCTCTGAAATGTTTTTCAATGTTCATACTAGGAGGCCTGTTTGGAGGCTCAGCTGCAATATCAAACTTCTGATAATTACGAAGAATTTCACAAATTTCAGCAGGTCGCAACCATCTATGCTGCGCTTCTAATAATATCTGTTCAATATCTGCAAATCAGAAAACGAAATATTAATTAACAAAAGACTCACTAGGACAAGCAAACGTATGAAAATGGAGGAATAAAACTATGAATCTAGTACCAATACCAAAAGCAAAATTCAGTCATCAGTTCAGAGTTTACCTATGTCTGAAAGACAGAAGGGCCTATTTTAGCAAAAAGCTTCATTTATATTATCATTAAATAACATTCTCGGCCTATATCACTCTTACAAAATTAAGGTCCAATAAGGAATGAAAAGAATTATCAAACTCAATTCATGCACCAATTTCGTGTAATACGAAAACATAAATCATATTGTTAATTTTTGGTTAGAGCATTCTCAGTGTCTTAAAGAGTGAACACTGCAAATTCTCCATGATGCAAAAAGATTTTGCTCTGCATCACCTAGAATGCAAACCTAACTTTCTGCTTTTATAGCAAATTATCAGGCATCAATTGCACTGCCAATTGATATATATTACCTGAAATGACCCCGAACCATAACGCATTCTCATATAAAATAAGCCAATGTGATAGAGTTGTTTAGTGTTATTTCTTCAAAATCTCTTAAGTTAAAGTGATCCTACTTCAAAAGCAACTTTTGTTATGAAAATACTTTCCACTCATCAATGCAATCACACGAAAGCTAAAATCACCACGTATTCTATCATTGGACAATCAAACCCTAATTCCTGGAATTCCCCAGATAAAATTAAGTTCTTAAATGATATCAATTTATCAAGTCCTCCCACCCAACCTCCCTAATTGAATCAAGTTATATATCTTAGACCTAACTCCAATTTCTCAAGGGAAAGCTCCGCAAAGTTTCCACTAAACAAACACAATCCCACCACGGATCAAATTAAAAATAACAGTAACAACAATAATAGAACCACACCCAAATTTCAGGTTAAAAACGAGTTCAAAAAGTAAACGAATCCAAACAGAAGAAATATTTATCAAACAAAAAAGTTGGTGAAAGAGATTGACAGAAAACTGACCTAATCGGGAAGCCAAACCGTACGAGGCGCGATCCGCCATGAGTAGAACACCAAAAGATCGATCGATTTGTTTTTTTGTTTAATTTATTCGTAAGATTGTTGAGATTAGCAAAGGATACACGAAAGCTGATAGGAGATTTTTCTTCTTTTTTTTTACTGTTATTCGGGTTTTTTTTTTACAAGTAGCATATTTTTATTTATTTATGTGCATGTATGTGGAGCTGAGGAGACTTTTAGAAATGGAAAATGTGAAAACGATTTTCGGAGTATTTTTGCTGTGGAAAAACTGAGAGAGAGTCGAAAGGCTGAGGAAAGTTCACGCCGTTGAACAGTAGCAACCTAAATTCACCAATTGGTGGCCGACATCTGGCGCGGCGTTGAACTTCTAACCGAGGATTTGAAATCTTTTACCTCCTTTTCGGTTTTTATATAGTTTTTCAGGTTTCCAAACGGGGAAATGAGATATAGGTGCCGTGGACTAGGAAAATTGAATAATTACTGTTAGGGTGCTTCTATGTGCGCTTCGTTTCCGTTTTTTATATTTTTTAAATTATTTTTAAGTAAAACTATTTAATTATTTTTATTTTATTTTAAAATTTTTTGAATATGTATGTTTGATAAATTTTATAATTTATTAGATCATGTAAGTTATAAAATTTATTAAATATGAAAATTTGTTAAATTATATAATTTATCTAATATGCATATTTAATATGAAAATTTAATGAATTATATAATTTATCGGATATATTAAATTTTATTAATTATATAATTTATTATATTTTTATATTTAATAAGTTTAAAAAGGAATTACATTTAGAGTTTTCAACAAAACTTATCTAATCAGTTTCGTTCCAATCTAACCAAAATATTTATTTATTTTTATGGGATTCTAACAAAACCAAGAAATTCACGTAAGGAAAAATAATCTTGTATCTTGAAGTACTTTCACAATATTACAAAAAAAAATTATTCAAATAATTATAAATTTATTTAAGAATTAATAGATAAAAATTATAATTTTAATAGAAAAAACACCCGATTACAGTATGAATTTTTGAATTTCCTCTTGATTTCAATGATATAAGATAAAAATATTTTTTAAATTTTTTATTTATAAATTTGAAAACTTTTAAAACTTTTTGGATTTGCAACAAAAATTTGAAAATAGGAATGGTTAGCTTAAAAAAGAATAATTAAATAATTTTATTTAAAAATAATTTTTTTAAAATTAGTGTAAAAAAGGCTCCCTTACTATTTATTAAAAATATTAAATTATAAAATATTTATTAAAATATTAAATTATAAAATTATTTTTACCTTTTTAATCTTAATTACAAAACGAATAAAAGACACCAGATATTGAACTATTGATGATGTTTTTGTTTTGTCCCTTACATGCGGCCCTGAGTCTATGTTTATCTACAACTCTATTTTGTGAAATATAAATAACATATGTTTGCATAGATATTAATAAAAAAATAAAATAAAAGTTTTTAAAAAAATAATATATATTTTTTATTTAGATAATTTAAATTAATAAACAAAATATAACGAACATTGTTTAGATAAATAATAAAAAAATAATTCATTCTAATACTTTTTCAATTATAATTTTTTTATAAAGTAACATATAATATATAAATATATTTTTATACTATCTAGTTTATACAAACAAATATTTTTAAGCAAAATTGAACATATTTAATATGATTAATTGTATTAACTAGTTATTAATTTATTTTTAATTTTGTGTTTAATTTAATCTTTTAATTTATTTTGATAATAATTTAGCTTGTTTTATTTTTAAAATTTAGAAAATCATAAAATATTTGTAAACTATAATGTTATATAAAATACTCATAAAAAAATTTATTTTGGTAAAAAGTGTCAGTTATATAATTAAATCTAATGTTATAATAAAAATATAAATATAATAATTTTTTCATAAAAGTATAAAATTTTCAATTTTACTTTCTTTTAAATTAAAAATTTATCTAAATAAATAAAAGATTTTTCTATTTTTATTTTTTTCTTTTATTTTCTTTTCCTTGTTTTCCCTTCCTCTCAATCTAAACATAAGGTAAGACAATAATCTATTATTTAAATTGTGGTAACTAACTAATGAACAGTACATTATCAAAATTTAAGTCACATTCCACTTTTTTTTTTTTTTGCTTTTTTGTTTTTGACCTTTTTCAAATTTGTTTATATTTAATAAATTTTTTTTACATATTTTATTTTTAAAGTGAGACATACTTTATATCAATTTTTTTTCTTTTTACTTTCATTTCAAGATTTTAAATTTATTTTTATGAGATCAATTTGATATTAAAGTATATTACGTGTTTTTTTCTATTATTTTTTATTTTTATTTAATATTTTTTTTAATTTCAATTTTTTTTATCTCTTCCATATCAAGGATATGCTATATGTCAAAGTTATTTTTTTCCTTTTAATATATTTTTTTCATTTTTTCTATTTACTTTTTTTTTAATATTTATATATTTTTATAATATTTTACCTTGATATGGATCAAGTGGTTATTTGGTCTTTGTTTTCAAATAACAAACCTTCACATGGGTTAAATTTTTCAAAGAGAAACGAACCAGGATCGGATTCATATTTAGAATGCTTTGTTTTAAGCTATTTTAAGATATATACATATATATATTATTTAATTTTATACATGTATATATATTATATTAATAAAATTATTTTTTACATTAATTTAATAAATTAATATTTTAAGCTTAATATCAGGTATCATTGTGACAGCTTCTATGGGTTTTTTCTCATTTTTAATTTTTTTTATTTTTTAATATTTTTTATTGGATAAATTTATAAAAAATTAGATCAACTAAGGTATTTATATGTCATTCTCATTTGTTTTATTTTTATCTTTTGTTTTTTTGTTTTATTAATTAGATTAAATTTTGTAAAAAATGTATGATGAATAAATATGGTAAAGTAAAAATTTTTACTCCCAGCAACGCGCAAGTATTTTTTTTTAGTATTTATAACTATAATTAAAAGTAAATCCCCGTCAAAATTACATTAATACCTTTTGAAATATTTAATAATTCATTGATTTGTGGCATTTTTTTGTCATTCCTTACAATAACTACAAAAATACCATTCTATATCTATTGAATTACATCATATAAATTACTATAATGCCCCCATATTGTAAGTAACCAAAATTACTATATTATCACTTCTATCATAATTAAAGAAATATCATTTCTATCATAATTGATCAAAATGACTATAATATCACTCCTATCATAATTATAAAAATACCTATAATACTTTAATTAGCCAAAATTCCTATAATCCTTTTGCCATAATTATAAAAATATACTTTTAATTACTTCATAATTACATATTAAATTTTAACATCTATATAATAATACGAAAGTAATTCCCTTATAAATAACTATAATGCATTTCTAATTTGCTTGACAATTGAATGACACGTGTTCAACTTGATTATAATGCCCATTTTTTTATAATAAGCTAAAATCATTATAATGTCTCTCCTATCATAATTATTAAAATACCATCTTATCATAATTGGTTAAAGTTACTAAATCTTCAAATGATTTTTATTTTAAGTTGTATTATTCAACATATAATCAAATTAATGAGTAAAGTATAAAATATAAAACAATCAACGACATTGTTCATCTAGAATCCAAAACCCAACTTGATATGATTGATCTTTAAGGTACCTAATCGATCCCCTAGGCTGTAACAATCAAAATGAATAAAACTTATGAACTAATCGATCATTTAATGCACCTGATCGATCTTTTATCAAAATAAATTAATCTCTTTATCTCAAACAAGCTTCAATAGTTAATTTTAAAGAAGAAAATCATGTGTTTTCATTTTTCAAGCTTCTTTAATGGTTAGTTATTTAATTCCTCTATAAATTGAGCATTACAATATATTAAAAAAGGTCGATAAATCAAAAGAGTCAAATCAAACAAGTTATATATTTATTATCTCAAAGAAATTAAGAGTTTTAGAGCTTTAACATTAATATCTTTGTATTTGTTATATTCAAATCATTATTATTATTCATTCATCATATTTTTTTATACTTTATTAAGCAAACACTTAACATTTGAAATATGTATTAGTTTGCAAAAATAATATGAGTATTTTTGTAATAAAAAAATGAGGTATCTTCTTGAAATTGTGAGATTAAATGGTTGCTACTTAATCTAAAAAAGTAAAAAATATTAAATTTCTATCTTAAGTCTTATGAAGAAAAAGATAGAGTTGTAATATTTATTCAATTAATGGATTAAAACCTTAGTATAGATAACTAAGAGAAAGGACGTGATGCCTTGAGGAAAATGATCGAATGTTTATAAATTTTACATTTAATTTCTATATCTCTACACTATTTACATTTATTGTTATTTATATTTGATTCTAGGCTTATTAATTGTTATTGATAGTATAATATTTTTATCAAAGTACTTATTATTTTAATTCATCATTTATTCATATTCAAATTATTATTTGAAAAAACATTTAAAGAAAACTAATTCACCTCTTTTTTGATTACCATATCACTTAAAAAATCAATAATTATAAACTAAAACTAATGACACCAAATGCTCTTACAAGCTAGTTAAATTTCATATTAAAAAAATTATTTTGAAAACAATAGTCCTTAGATGTCTCTTCTCAATAATCATTAGAAATAATTTTTAAAATTGAATTTTTTAATTAAATATGTTAACACTTTTATAACATGATAATTTAAAATACAATAACAAAAAAATATATTTTATATCCCATAATTATGAGGTAACATGATAATTAAAATGATTTGTCAAAAAACCACTAATGTTTTATTGATTAGATGTTCTCCTATAATTTTACGAGAGGAATATTATTTTTATCCAACCAATTGCAATTGATAAAAAAAAAAAAACAAAAGGATGGTGATTTAGTTAATATATTCAAAACATCATCATACGACAAAAAAAAAAAACAACAACATTATTATTGCTATGAGTTCAATCATTAGATAGATCAGTGCATCCGAACATTTAATTAAACAGTTAAACGGATCTCTTACTTAAAAAGTTAATTTCAAATATTCATTATCTCAAATAAAAAAAAAGGCCATAAAATATGTCCTTCAATTTATTTTTGCAGAAGAAAATGATAGGTCATTTCCTTTTCATTTTTTTATACCTGATTTTTAATTTAATTTTGACTTTTGGTGGTCAAAATTTCTTATATTTTTACCTCTTTTACAATGAAATATTCACCAATTAAATTAAAAACAAGAAATAATAAAAATAATTTAAATCAAAAGAAAATGAAAAAAATTAACAATATAAATAAAAAAATTTTAAATCAAAATGTGAAAAGAAAACCATTTTTGAGAGTAAGCATTACCATTAAAAGTTTTCTATCAATCTTGGTTTATTATCTTTATTATTATAAGAGTATAGAAATTTTTTCTTTTTTGTATTAAATATTTAAAATTTTGATATCAGAATTAAAAAAACCGAACAAAAGAAAATGAGTAGAACTGCGAATGATCGAGTTCTAGATAAAAATTTTAAAATGTGTAACTCCGACTCAATCCAAATTATTATTTTATTATTTAAATTTAGTTTTAAATATTGACATAATAATATTTTAATATTTTTTAATAGTAACCGGGCCATATACACCTCTGGGTGCTGGCGAGAGTGGAACTTTCGTGAATGACGAGTGACGTCAGCCGATGGGCCTTAAAATTTGTTCTTTAAGTCCGCTCAACTTGGGCAGTCGCAAAATTTGTCTTTGCATAATTGGAAGTCAATTAATTTTGGACCGTGGACCAATGTAATCATGCACTAGGTATTAAAAAATAAAAAAAATTATCATGCTTTAAGAAAAAGTTGATTAATTTTTTAAAAATAATTTTAATCCAAAATTTTAAATTAGAATAAATGCAGTATCAGTCCGTCTTTTTAAAAAGTATACTGGTAACGTATTAAAAGATTTTTAACCAATGGCTATGAAATTATCCATCCAGTATCAATGAATTTTCCTTTATGAAAAAAAAAGAAAAAATAAAACGATAAAAAATACTAGTTTTTTTTTTTTGTCTAATTTTCATTTAGTAGCTCCCGTGATGTCCCGTGCACCTCAACTTTCAAATTCTGACCACGAATACTCCACTTGGTCGATCCACTGACACGTGTCATACAGAAGTGGTAAATTAATTGCTATTCATTCCCAAAGAATAGGAAAGTCTAGTGGCAGGGACGTAAGTTTAGAAAAATCAAGGGTACAACCGCCTTAAAAATGTAAGCGGCTATCAAGTAATATTAATATACGGACAAGAGCACGACATTTGATTTTATCTCCACTTTTAGAATTGCAGGACTCCGATCATATCCGTTGATTATGAGTAAATTACCTTTAAGAGTATTCTGATTGGAAGAAAGCTGCCACACTTCCATCTATTCGGTAATGCAAAGCGCACACCATAGTTTACCCTCTCCGGAATCTGATCTTATCTTAAAATTTCTTGCCCTCCAAGCGACGGCGGATGAAGAACCTACCCATCCATTACTTCCATTATCTTTCTCCAGCTTCTCGGGTCTTTTCATTAACAAAACCTTGAAGAAAAAAAAAAAGAAAGAAAATGAATCGTTTTGTACTAAAGTCGGTGATGCAAGGCCTGATCAATGGCCGAAGCTATAGCATCGGCAATGAATACGTGTATAGGGCCGCCGTAGTTGGGAGAAGCGCGCAGTTGAGTGGACAACAAAACGGCATCGTGTTTGGAGGGTTTGAGTGGAGAAGGATGATGAGCTCTGAACCAGCTTCTGTGGAAAAAGCGCCGTTCGAGAAGGAAGATAAAAAGGAAAGTCCGGTGACCGAAGACAAGAAGGGGAAGGAAGTGTTGGCGTCAAGTTATTGGGGGATTTCAAGGCCTAAGATCACCAGAGAGGATGGCACTGACTGGCCTTGGAACTGTTTCATGGTATCATCTAATCTTTCTATAGTTTAAACTCTAAAACTCGTTTTATTTATGCGAGATATTAGAAGATTTTTTTTTTTTTCATTTTCCAAAGGTTTAATGCATCTTTAATGGCTCTTTCTTTTTCTTCCTGGATCGATTCTGTTATTTGACTTTTGATTTTCTTTTCCACCTGTATTCAAAACTACCATGTCGTTGACTTATTACTGTTGATCATAATCTAAGGTCGTGTTTGGATGTCATATCAAAACAAAGTAAAATGCGATTGCTCTGTTCTTTATTTTCTTTTTCTGTTTGCCTGATAATCTAAAGGTTTAAAATAAATGAATTCATTAAATCAATTTTGAGTAATTCATCTTTAAAGGAACACTTGTCTGCTGCAGAAATTAACTAATTATTTATATTTTGACGTTCTAATATTTGTGCTGTTTGTTTTGTACTCTTTCATGTAGCCATGGGAAACGTACAGGGCGGACGTGTCAATTGACTTGAAAAAGCACCATGTACCAAAGAACTTTACAGATAAATTTGCTTACAGGACAGTCAAACTCCTGCGGATTCCTACAGATATATTCTTCCAGGTTTTTTTTTTTTTTTTTTAACCTTTCTTTGTTCTGTAATTACATTATCCTATAATTGTTTAATTGTATTTTATATATTCTTTTATATTATTGCTTTTAGATCTCAAATTTCAACTGAACTTTTCATTCATCTTTTTCACATTTTACATTTCTATATATATTTATGATAGCACTTATTTACATCCAAGCCTGTCTTGATATGTTTGAAGTTTGCAGGTTGTTACACATTAGAAGACAATTATATGATTCTTGTCTTTTCTGTCATATGTATTCAAGGCATTGCTTCTTTTTCATGAGTGAAAACGAACTCCACAGTTTCTGTGTGACTCTTTTTTTGACCTCCTGGTTGAAAGCCTATTCACTTGTGTAAAAAATTTTGTATTTGATGTGGCTTTCTTGAAATACAGAGACGCTATGGCTGTCGTGCTATGATGCTGGAAACAGTGGCGGCTGTCCCTGGTATGGTTGGAGGGATGCTTCTGCATCTGAGGTCTCTCCGTAAGTTCCAGCAAAGTGGTGGTTGGATTAAAGCCTTGCTTGAAGAAGCAGAGAATGAGAGGATGCATTTGATGACAATGGTGGAGCTTGTGAAACCCAAGTGGTATGAGAGGCTTCTTGTTCTGACCGTGCAAGGAGTCTTCTTTAATGCCTTCTTTGTTCTTTATTTGCTCTCTCCCAAACTGGCACATAGAATTGTTGGGTATTTGGAGGAGGAAGCTATTCACTCTTATACGGAGTATTTGAAGGATATTGAAAGTGGTGCTATACAAAATGTTCCAGCACCTGCCATCGCAATAGATTACTGGAGATTGCCAAAAGATGCTACCCTCAAGGATGTTATAACTGTGATTCGTGCTGATGAAGCTCATCATAGGGATGTTAACCATTTTGCTTCTGTACGTATCACTTGCCTCTTCCATTTCCATGTTCATTTTTCTTTAACAGATTCATGAAGCAATGCTCTTGCCACCCATTTTAACATCGATAAATATTCTATTGTTGTTTTTATATCAAATGATGCATCTGGCAATTTGAGAAAACGCAGGTTAAATAGGGAATTTAGACCTGAAAAAATATTCCATCATTTATGCTCATATTTTTGCATGAGACGAATGTAAGTGATTACATCTGACCGTAGAATCACTCATAAGGTATGGTAAAATTTAAAATTAGTCTGTCATTTACTTGGATTGACCTAATGAAGTATCATCGGAGTTGATCAGTAAAGAAGTTTTTGTAGATTTTAGTGTATGAACATTTGTTCTTCTTTTTCTTTTTGTTTCTTTATTATCATTTTGTTCTTCTTTTTTTTTTGTTTCTTTATTATCATTTGGAATTTATAAGTATATGATCTTTTGCATTTAGTTTGGCATCATGGCAACACGTTAGTTGGCATGGATTGGATCCTGTTTCTTCAAAGATTGATTAACAATTGTTCAGTCTGTATTTGGTACTGTGACTAGATGTTTATTACAGTAGGTAAGTCCTAAAAATGTCATATACCTGAAATGCAGAAGACTATAACTGAGCATGTTATTCCCTCTTCTCCTCTCCCCTCCCCCCCCCCCCCCCCCCCCTTTTTCTCTTATGAACCTAAGAAATTATTGTGTTCTCTGGTTATTGGTGATAGATAATGCAAATCCAAAAGACTGTTCATATGCATCCCAAGGTTCAATAATGATCTTAATGCGTATATTTGGTGCCTAATACTCTTTTATGCAGGATATTCATTTTCAGGGAAAGGAATTGAGGGAGGCACCGGCTCCTCTTGGTTATCATTAACTCTTGTGATGGATTATGAATATTGTTTTAGAGGTTCCTGTTTGATGCAAACTGGAATAGTGTATATTTCTTTGTTATATTGTGAGGCACATGATCAATAAGAGTATGGATTGATAGTTTTCTGTATGGAAAGAAGAGGGTGAGTGGGGCGTATGATAAGTTCCAAATTTGGATGAATTTTTATGAGCATTAATATTGAAGAATATGGCTACTTTGGCATTTTCTTATCTTGCATATCTTCTCTTAGGTGTCCTTTTTCTTTTTTTTTTATTTCTTTATACCCTTCTTTGTTTTTTACTGTTGGAAGAGGTTAATTTTATTAACCCAATCTATATATTTAATTTTATAGAGAATAAGAGAGGATATCGCATGGCAGCCCTTCGTTTCTCTAAAAACCTTTTTATATATATATATATTTTTTTTTTTATATTTATTAAATCTATTTTTTATTGTTTATTTTTCTACTTTTTACTTTTCGATTTTTGATTTTTTTAACTTTAATTTTTAACTAAATAAATTTTGTAAAAAAAAAAAAGGGTTAATTGAGGTATGAATGATAAAATAATATCTGATTGGTTTCGATTCATGTCAATCCATCGTAAGGGCTTTTATAAAAAAGTTTCGAGATCGGATTGAGATTCCTTTTTTTTTTAAATTTGGGTGCAATCCAAAATGGGTTTAAGGTGTTTCGTGTTCATGTGATAGCTTTGTTCTCTTTTTTTCTTTTTGTAAGCTTTTGATTTTTTTTAGGTCTGTATTTATTTAATTTTATTTTTTTTAAAATAGAGAAGACAAAATAATTAGTATTTAATGAGTTTCAGTTGTAATGATCCCGTTGTGTATTTTTTTTAATTGAAAATAATTGGATTGAATTTTTTTTATTAATTCGAGGATAAAAGTGAGGTTTTTGAGTATTACATATGATATCTTATCAAATATTGATAAATTTTTTTATTTTTTTACATTCTTTTTACTATTATTTGTTTATTGGCAACTCTTTTTTTTTTTTTTTAACTTGTACCTTTGTTTTCCGTTATCTCTTTTTTAAACTTCCATTCTTTCTTAACTATTTTTTAAAAAATGAATAAATAATCATGATGGTAAAACAAGAATTATTGAAGTTCAAAGAGAATATGTATATATATTTGTCTATAATTTGTATTTACATTTATTAAATATTATTACTATTTATTTCTTAAAAAAATACAGTTATATTTATCTATATGCTGTTATATAAAAATTTTACTTTTTTTTTTATTAAAAATATAATTTTAAAAAAATAAAAATTAATTCGTGGGTTAGTTCTAATTCATGAAAGAGCTAGAGATATACATGCGGTAAGTACCAACATGGCAGGAGATTGGAAGATTGTTGTGGTGAATATCAGGGGGTGGAGGGGGCAATTTCTTCAAAAAGAATCAAAGTTGCAGCACCCGTGGGTTTGTGTCACAAACTAGTTTAGTTCAAAAAGAGAAGCAAAAGGGAAAGAGGAATGGAGGCCAGAACCGCAAAGTACTCGCCCTCTTCTACATGTAGAGTTCATTCAATGAATTTCTGAATCTCATCAAAGAAATTCATTACTCAAAAGTCAGTTCCTTCAACATACCGACGCCAGAACCAATGCTTTTGCCAAACTTGGTCCATAGATTCCAGGGGAATCCCCTTCGTCTCTGGCAGGAAGAGGCCCACAAATATGGTCATAATTGAAACCCACGCAGCGTAAAACAGGAACACAGCGTACTTAAAGTGACACAGCACAGTCGAAAACGTTTGAGACAGAATAAATGTAACTATGAAATTGAAGGCGATGCATATCCCTTGCCCGGCTGGTCGGACCTCCATAGGCAATATCTCACTTGGTATGAGCCATGTTAATGGCCCCCACGACCATGCAAACGCCGCTGTAATGCTACATGTCAGAACCAAAACTAAGATGGCTGCTTTCCTTGAGAAAGGTGCAGTGCCGTCTGTCCCCGTCTCCACTGCGAAAAGAAATGCCAGTGCCATCTTCACCAAACAAAACCCGAAGTTTAGAAAAAGGAACTAATCGGTTTTCTTTTAACAAAGGAGTTGATCTCTGAAAATTCTAATGCAAACCTGGCAGAGTAAAATTTGAGCTCCAGCTTGGAGGAACAAAATTCTTCTTCCAACTCTATCAATGGCGTAAGTTGAAACAAATGTGGAAAGAATATTGACTGTCCCCAAAATGATGCCTCCAATCAATGCCCCATCGCTACCAAACCCAATCGAACGAAACAACACCGGTCCATAAAATGCAATCACGTTAATCCCCGTTAGCTGTTGGAACGAGGGAATTGCTATGGTCAGCACCAGGTGTGGCCGGTAACGTCGTTGCATGATCAACTTGTACGGATCCTGATTGGCTGCTTTTATAGCTTCGTTATGGGTTACTAGTTCGTTCAACTCGGACTCGGTATCAGAGTCATTTCCACGGACTGTCTCCAATGATCGACGTGCCTCGTTCACTTTCCCACGTTGGATTAGGCTGCTTGGGGTATCGGGAATGAAGAGTGCCCCGACTGTCATGACGAAAGCGGGTATACCTCCAGCACCTAAAGCTATGCGCCAACCGTAGTCCCCGAGCCGTGCCACGGCGAAGTTGATAAAGCTGGCTACGATGACCCCAAGGGTGAGAAAAAACTGAAAGCCTGTGCTTAAAGTTCCTCGCCATTTGGGTGGAGCCATTTCTGAGAGGTACACTGGAGCTGCCTATAATAATTGTAAAAATTCAGCAATGGTTGAAACTTGAAAATGGCTGAGCGACCTCAGTGTGTGAGACTAGCGTGATAACCAACTAGACCACCCAGAAGAAAAGATTTTACCTGATTTGTGAAACCGACTCCGAAACCGAGAAGCAGGCGGCCTACAATGAGCATCCATACGTTGAAAGCAAAGGCGTTAAGGGCAGTGCCGATCATGAAAATAGAACCTCCGATGATCAAGATGCCTTTGCGGCCGGTAATGGTGGTAACACGTCCTGCTATGAGTGATGACACTAGACCTGCAATGTTCAATGAAGACGTGAATGCTGTTAGGCTTTGGCTGTCGAACAAACAATATTGGCTCTGCTTTGCGTCTGCCATCCTCTGTAAAACAAATGGGAAGAACTTTTCCAAGAATGGCCCCATTGTCGTTACTCCTCCTGCAAATTCATGAACATATTTCTGTTTAGCAAATTTGGATGAAAAAACTCAATGAAATTAATCTGATTTTCATGTTTGTAGGAAAGTTAAACCTGTGACTCCAACATCATAGCCGAATATTAACCCAGCAGAACCTGCAACAATGCAGATAAACACGACAGAAGAGGTCAATTTCGAAGCATGGGCATTATTGTCAGCATGGCCATGGTCCGCTATAACCCCTCCTGCCATCTTTCTCTCGCTGTCTCTCTCCCTCTCCTTCTCGTCTCAAAACAAAAGGAGAAGAAGCAAAATAATAATAAAAGCTTCTATTTATTGGCTTTGACTGCTATTAATAACCAATCTTGGCTTTTTCGTTGGTAGGCAAGGCAGGCACTGTAGCCGCTCGTAAATGGATATCATAGTTTTGTTTCTCAACTTTTTGCCGCCCAGCGCATTTGACGGTCATTCGCTTCGCTGTCGGATCCCGAATAAGATGAAAAAGAAAAGAGAAGATACCAATAAGGCTACCTCTCCCCATCTTATGGGGGAAGATTGGTGAACCAAATTTAGAGTCATTTATTATTTTTTAAAAAATTTTAAGATTTACAATTAAAACTAACAAACAAATTAAAATTTATTAAGTAAGAATCCATCTAGCGTAAGTTTTAACTTTTTTTCTTTATCTTTAAATCAAAATTAAATCTAATTCAAAATAATATTTTTAATCTAAATTATTTTGATCCTAAAGTAAAAAAATATATAAATATAAATAAATACTCCTCAAATTTAATTAATATTAAATACATTAAAATCATATTTGATACATAAAATAATATATATAATAAAATGATAATCATTTTATATTACATTTGATTTATATTTACATGAAAAAATATGATTACAAAAAAAATTATCTTTTTAATATAAAATAATTCAATCTTCTCAAGTAAAAATTTTTTTTTTAATTCATAAGATTAAACTTTCGTATCCTATTATATCTTTAAAAATTACATCAATAATTTAAATTGAATAAATTTTTAAAAAAATAATTTTAATCAATAAATAAGTTATTCAATTCTAATTTTTATATACATCAAATATAAGATAAAAATAATATTATTTAATCTATCATAATCTTATGTATCAAATATATCTTAAAAATTTTACAAATAGATTAATTAAATACAACATAAGAAATCAACCAATAAATTAAATTATAAAAGAATTATATTACACATTAAATAAACAAAAACACAAAGCATAAACTTATATCGAAAATAAGATAAAAAAACATAAGAGCAGCTCAAACACAAAACTGTTAAGTTTCAAGTATGGGGACTGGGTGATTCCAGTTTCAGATTGTATTTATTTATTATTTTTTTTAAATGAGAAACTTTCTATTCACTTACATTGGGTTTAAACATTGCATTATCTTTCTTGCTCCTCATTTTACAAGTGAAACCTTGAAGAAGGGTAAACTCCCAGGAAAAAAGAGATACCTTGTACAGCACATTGGAAACGTTGGAAAGTATAATCCCCAACATGATGGATAAAAGAAGAGTCGAACCCTTGAGAAGGCTAATTCCTAACATCTCTTGGATATGTACTTCATTTCATCGAAGAGGCAGAATAAAATAGCTGTTATGTCATAATGCACTAGAATATGGTTTCTTCAACCTTTCTTTTGGATCCTCTACAAAATCAGGGTTAATATAAATAGGTGCATGCGATGATGATCCGTAAGTTTGCTGCTGTTTTTAAGGAAAATTTCAACCTTAAAAGCAACGAATTTGTCATCACCCCCATTGAACTGAGACCCATAAGAGCTCAAGCAATTAATGGAGTCAGCATGGTTCCGGTTACTGGCAGTAACATTCCAGCAGCAATTGGAATCCCAACCTATATCGTAACCAAAGCAGTATCAGATGTTTGCTGAAAGAAGCAAATCAAAGTGAATGATCAAAAGCACATGCTGAAATTTACCTCTCAGTTGGGGCGCAGGAAGCTGGTAAAAATGGAAGTCATAGAAAGAGCTGTGTCCAATGTGCATAATTTGGTAAGAGCAAGGTGCAGCAACCAATGATTCATATCAGGTTTTTAACTCCCTTGCTTTGCTTGAAAGAGAGCCATATGACATTTTAAACTTTGGTGCTAATGTTGTGCGAAATATATATAGCTGTAACATGCACAAAAACCTACCATGTTGTATGCAAAGGCCCCCCAGATTTTGCTTCACCGTCTTCATTGTTAGCCTGCCTAGCTCCAAAGCATCAAGCAACTGCATAGAGATAAACTGAGTGAATTTATATGATACACATGAGAAGGTGGAAATGAGGAGTTGATTGTAGGAAAAGGCAACTGAGTTCACATAAATGAATTTCATGATATAGTCCACCCATACGGATTTTTAAATCCATGTCTGATTGATTATACTATAGAGATTAAAAAAATTTCTTAACTTTACAGTATCTTATATTAAAAAAGTAAATGTTTATATTGATGTTCAATGATTTTTAATGCCAAAAAATAATGTGCAACATAGAAAAAAAGAGTTTAAAGTGTTCAAGAATTAAAAAGATGGCATAATTTATTTTGGAATATATAAAAAAGAAATGATGGACAAAGGAAATAAAACAGAGAGAATTTACTTTCAGAAAGATTTGCAACATATGAAAAGCATTGCATGCTAACCATAAAATTTCTTCTCTTTCCACACACCTCTGAACTATACTATTCCTGGTGCTATTGTGAATCTTGCCACTTGTTTTTCTTAACAACCATTTAAGTTTCAATTTTCACCGCAATATATGTTCTAATCAGATTCACATTGACCAACAAGAATTGTAACAAAGATGAGGCAATATGCTGGAATAAATTATTGCAGCAAGTTGAATATACAAAGAGCATGTTTGACATATCATATTGTGAAATTCATTTGCAAAATAACAATTAACAGGCCTTTTTGCATGTATATTTGCTCACCCTAAATAAAAATTTAAATCGTGAAACAAATTTACACTGATTTAATATTAAAATAAGTACAATTATGTCTAATACTTACATCATTTAGTAGGCAACTGTTGAATTAACAAATTTACCGTAAGAAAATACCTGTGACAGCCTGTTGCCTACAATAAAATAGAAGATACTTCACTTGCAGCACCAAAACCGCCACCCATGGCAACTCCAATATGTGCTGAAGCCAAGGCAGCAGCATCATTGATTCCATCACCAACCATAGCTACAACATTTTGATTCTTCTGAAGTTCCCTTATGAACTTCCTCTTATCATCTGGTTTAACTTCAGACAGGACCTGGAAACCAGATAGCACCATTTTTAATATCTAATCATGCTCAATTTTATGTCTGAATATATTACACATATGATGTAGTCATGTACATGGTCAAAATAAACTTACAGAAAAGGGAAAAGTACAAGCGAATTGTTATAATCTACCAAAAGGTTAATGGTAAAAAGGAGAACCATATTCAAGGTATTGAATATTAATTTCAGACTATAACTTTCCAAGGGATTTTTAATCTGCCAAAAACAGCTATCATTCTGTATTGTCAAATCAATTACATAAAGTGAAGTGATAAACAATTCAAACACACAAGATAAATATACTTGGTCATATATACAAACAGTTAGGACGATAGAATGGATTTAAATAATCTTTGTAATCATAGAAACAAATTGAAAGCATGATTTGAAGAATTTATTACAGTTATTGGTTTAAAAATTTTAAATGTAAAACAATCAAACATGAAAAAGTAGAGAGAGAGAAGCAAAAAAAGGCCTGCTTGGCCTTTGTATGTAAATTAAAGCAAATTTAACATAGATCCCAAAACCAAGAGTTTGTGCTTTAAGAATGAGACCCTCTTGGGAAATGACACGGATACATGGACCATTACACAGACAAAATTTTCAAAGAAGCATTCAAGTTTTAAAAGCATCACTATTTCTTATCCTGACTGATAGCAACCAGTGTTTGTTGTCCTATAAGTATTTGATTAGCAGTCTTCTCATACATACTGCTTTTCTTTTCTTCTATGCTTGGCAACATCTGTCGGTTTTAGAAAGGTTTTGTTACCCCTTCTTTACTTTGCATGGATTCTTAAGTTGTATCTGCATTTGTCTAGTTATTCTTCTATCAATATCTTTGTTAACTAATATTAGCAGCATACACCCCAACCACCTCCCCCCATTATTCTTTTTTCTCTTCCCAAACTAAACAAAGCAAATTTCTTCTCATACTGGGTATAGTGCATATATTCTCAAGCTTTAGCTCTTTTAAAGAATGCTGGATCTATGAGATATTAATTTGGGTTTCATACAGGTACACAGATGATAACAGTTAATACTTAATACCAGTCAGAATACATTGCTTGAACAGCAATTTCTGATCTTTTAAGGCCAGAGCAGTTTTTGGGTTATAGATAATCACCATCCCTGAGGTTTCTTTTAAACAGTCTCATAATTGTCATTAATTAAAGCACTTATAGCCCAAGCAGCCCTTGTCATCTCCTTTCTATGTACAGCTCAACAACTGTAGATAATTTCAAACCAAATACTAACCTATATGAATTAGGTGTTAAATCACAGAAGAATCAATTACATTCTCTTTTGGAATTCCAACAATTGATGCAGCATACTCAGCAGTGGTCCTTTTGTCCCCAGAAAGCATGTACACACCGATTCATTGCCTATGCAAAGAATCAACAACATGCCTGGCATCTTCTCTAATCTGATCCTCAAAATAAATAAGACCAGTGAGGGTATTATTGACTCCAACATAGACCATAGATTTATTTCTATGCTGCTCATCCACTTCCTGAAAGAAATTCTCGGCAACTCCATGCCTGCAGAAAATGAACTCCCCTGTTCTACAGAAAGAGCTTAATGACCCCTAAATTACTAGGAGAGTGATTCCTGTATGTATCAACTCTTGGCAGCTTGACATTGCCAAATTGAATTAATTGCTCTTCTCATTTACAAAACAAAGTTAATGAGAAGCAATTAAAAGGGGCAGGGGAGTTTCCGTACTCCATATGTTATGTCCTAAGAAATACAATCCACGTGGTTGGCTTTCTAGGGTTTGAAGGGTTATATAAATAGTTCATCACTCTGCCTTTTCACTTAAATTTCAAAAAAATACCACTGATTGCATGATTTTTCATCCTTAACCATGATGACCATTAACTACTAAGGCCCTATTTGCTTTGCCAATTATCACCTGCATTGTAAA